AAATGATCCTCATCTGTATCTTACTATGTGGACAGGTGAAAATGCACGTTAGGCGCTTGCCCTGATCAAAATTTACTGCCATGTTGACTATCTTTTAATTGCTACACAAAGAAAGCAACGAGCAAGAAATATAAGGAATATAAAGATTAAAGTACTGCACCTTCTCTCCTGGTTCTCCAGGAATACCCGGAACTCCTGTGATACCCTACATGGAGGACAAAAATATTCAAGTTACTATTATAGGTAAAGAACAAATATTATATAAAGATGAAACTGATACGCTTGATCACAGTAACGTATAATTATTACCAAATTTATATTATCAAAATACTTGTGCTAAAATTAGCTTGTCAAATTGTATTATTAAAAAATACATTCAATTAAAATCAAGAGACATTAGTAGTTAGTATCTGTTTATATACCGATTGACATCCAATTGATTCACAGTTAGCTATCAATATGTGTTAAATTATTGGGTCTTCTTAGGGGCCAGTGGGAGGCGGGTGGCAGATCCCAAAAAAGTTCATGCAAATAAGAGTGGGTTTGAAAAAAGTCACGCAAGCATTTAGGGAAAGAATTTAAACAAATTCTTGCAACTTCATTGAATATTCAGAAATATGTAAAAGGATGTTACTGCACAGATTCTACACCATAAAAACTAAGATCTAAACTTAAAAATTCTTCGAAGGAAAAATTCTCCTCCCCTCTCTCAGGATAATATCCAATGGTCCACTCCTTAAGTTTGAAAATATTTTATTTAAAATGTTTTAGCACTTTAAGTAATACAATCACTTGTATAATTTTGATTATACATGCGTTTATTTACTATACCGGTTCTCCAACAGCATGAGATGGCGCGCCCACGGCTGCAGGACCTGCATCACCCTAAATCATACAAACATGAAACATGAAAAGAACAGAATGAAAATTAAAAAAAATAAAAAAAATGATAACAAAAGTGAAATTCGGAAATTTCTCCTTCCACGGTGGTTAGGGAGCGGGTCAATATTTGAATGGAGGACCACGTTTTATGTGAAAACTGGAAGAAAAGGAGGATCATATAAATTTATAAGGATGTATAGTCAAGTAGGTATATCCACAACTTGTTATAGATTGCCCCCCCCCCCCCCATAAAGCATCATTATGTGTGTAGGGAAAAACCTAATTTTAATTGAATTTTTCACCGTATAGAAGTGCCAGATATGATGTCATTAGATGAACTGCAAATGCAATTGTATGTTTTATGCTGCTGAAATTCATCTAACTACAACATATTCAGCAACTTTGAAAGTGAAACAGTTAAGCAAGATGAGTTATTTAAGTATATATTTCTTCTTAGAATGACCCAATGTTATACTCATACCAAAATAATTTTTGAGGTTAGTGCGACTTTAATCATGTTCGATCATTCCCTGATCGTAGTAAAATATATGTTTCGTTTCAGAGCAAACGTAGAAATGTTTTCCCTCGCTTCTCTGCAAAGTCGAATAAATGAGTGCAAGCTCTAGTCGAATTACATTGAAATATTCATTCGCGACCACACATTATGACAATTCGATGTGGTGTATCCATCAGGGATGATCAAAAGTTAAGACCTAGCTCCTTATATACTGTACTCCGGAGATCGTCTCACCGACCGACAAGTTGGAGGTAGGCTACTGTTGTGGAACATGGCTTACACCCCTATGATAGTTCATGTTTCACAATACCTCTAGTCATATAACCAATGTTTGTGGTAATGACTTTCGAGTCTTCCCGGGGAATGCTTTTATTAATTTACAGTGTAAGTCTAAAGTCTAATTTAACAAACCAGAGTAGCGAGCGGGAACGGAAATACACAATATATATATATGTTTTACCTGTTCGCCTTTAGGTCCCATCATTCCAGGTTTTCCTTGTCTACCATCTAAACCTCCTTCACCATCGCTACCACGTACTCCCATATCCCCCTTTTCTCCAGCACCTCCTATATCCCCCTTTCTTCCCCACCATCCTGGGTACCCCACAAACCCCATGGGTCCCATATCTCCCAGCAGGCCTGGATTACCTTGGCGTCCCTATATATAAAACAATTAACATTTTTGGATGACTGTGATTTCAATATTATCTACACTGAAGCAATGAGATCTGCCGAAGCCAAAGATTGTGGCGGATAACTTACTCTATGACCAATGAAGTTGGAATTTGATTTCATTTTGGAATTTTTATTTTATCCTTTATGCTGACAAAACTAGAAAGCTACGAATACTAGGCTAGTAGGCTTAAATACTAGGCTACTAGGCTTAAATGTTGTGCTGTTTGTAATGTACTATCTGTATCTTTTTACCTCTAGTCCAGTTCTTCCTTGATGTCCTCGATATCCCTTCAAACCTTGATCGCCTTTGGCTCCCATTGCCCCAGGATGTCCTCTTCCGCCCCTTCTACCCTGGAACATATATATTATATAAACGTACAAGTCACGCTCACAATTTCTCTGCGAATACTAAAATTAACTCTAACGCCCGTATTCTAAAAGCTCACTTACACTCACACTCAATGAGTGGAAGTTCAATCTGAGCTTCTCTCGAGTGTCATTGCTGTTTTTGAATAGCTGGAGGGGTAGTGTAATACCTTACTATGTGACTACTCACCATCCAGCTATTCAAAAACAGCATTGACACTCAAGAGAAGCTCAGATTTAAGCTCCACTCATTGCGTGTGAGTGAGCTTTTAGAATACAGGCGTAAGTCGGAATACATACCTTGATACCTACAGTGTAATAATAATCGAATATAGTTCGTAATAAAAATTGGTAAAATTATCAATAACTGTAATTAAATGGAGGGGGCTTCGGTGGCCAAGTGGTTAGCGCACTTGCCTTTCACCTCTGAGGCTGCAGGTTCGAGTCTCACTAAGTACCTTCTCAGTGCGACTCGAACCCAGTCCCCATGTGAAAAGAGTAAAAGTCAACGCTCTGCCGAAAGCCGTGGGTTTTCTCCGGGTACTCCGGTTTCCTCCCACAGGGAAAGTTGACAGGGTGCGTTAGGTAAAAGGGCCCACAGTAATTGGCATATGCTGGGGTGGTGACCCTGCCCTAGTTGGCAAAGCTAAATAAATAAAATAAAATAAATAAAATAACTGGGACTGGGATTTCTAATAAAAATCCAACTGGGACTGGGATTTTGCCAAAATTTCAGGTGGGAAATGGGATTGGGACCCCCTCCCTTCAGGACCCTCCTAAAACAACGATACTGAGTGAACGAGACGAACTTTGATATTCTGGATATATAGCCAATTGATTTTGTCCTTTAGAAAAGATGCTGTGCATATATAGAAGATACCCTTTATACGTTAATCTTGTTTTGACAACTCACCGGTCTTCCTTTAGATCCAGCTCCTCTGGGGAGGCCCTTTGCACCCTGCAAATAGAAGCCATAAGACTCTTGCATCGCGATGACGACAACAAAAACAAACTTGTTGAAACAAGTGAGTGTAAATAAAACTTGTTCTGTATTATTGATTGTATGAAAGACTGGGGCTTTATGGTTAATAAAAATTCCACTGAGTCAATTTAGAGTATCACTTGTTACGGCTTGAAATGCAGGCAAGAATAGGCAATTCCAGCCTTTAGTTTATGCGTGGAGGAGGAGATGGAAAGTAAGGTATCACATCGCTGATTATGATGAAAAAATAAAAATGGCGGCCGTGTAAACACGGGTTGATAACTTATGCTGTAAATATTAAAATATTTCGGTTGTTTCGGCAGTTTTTATTGAAAATTTTCAGCATAATCAGCAATATGATACCTTACTTCCCTTCACCCCCTGCGCGCATAAATTAAAAGCTGGAATTGTCTATTAACCAGGTAATATACAAGGACAGAATATGAAAGTATAATAGTACTTATTATGTCGTTATTAAACTTTGGGAAAAAATGGGAAATCTTACCTTTTTTCCTGACTTTGCTTTTAAACCTTGCTCACCAACCTCACCATCATATCCCTACACAGGTGATCAACCGTCAACAGAATGAATAAGGCAAGGAAGATATTATGATAATTATTACGTTGAATACATAGTTTATTGTGTTCATTTTGAAACCAATCTTGTACTTTGATTGCATCTTCTTATCAGTACGACTTCCGCAAGAATCGAACCCTCTATTCAGTGGCGCCGCCAGAATTTTATTTTGAGAGGGACTAAATAATTTGCAAGTCGCAATTCTAGCGGCGGTCCGGAACATGCTCCCCAGGGAGAAAATTGTATTTTGGGTCCACGAAACAGTATTTCCTACACTGTGGAGGCACTTAGAGAAAAATATAAAGGTCTTAATAAACCACCTTTTAACAGTATTAAATAATGATCTGGCGCCCTCGCCCCCTGTTATTCAACCAAGAACTGATTCAAAACAACAAACTGATTTTTAGAAATGAAAAGCAAATCTTGAGTTTTAGACACAGGTGAATCAACATACCGTTCTTCCAGCTTCGCCAGGTGCACCTTGTGTCCCTGGGTCCCCATCAAGCCCCTTTCAGAATATATAAAAAAATTGTTAGAAAAACGTTGTTAGAAGAAATGGTACAGAAATCATCTTTCCTTGCAGTTAAAAGCTGAATTGCAAAGGACACAGTTTAAACATGAACGAGTCAAAACGTGCTAGAGCGACTCTGGCTGCCATCTTATATGTACGAGCACAGGTATGGTTGGGTTTTGTGAGAGGAAAGCGGAGTACCTGGAGAAATGTGTATGATGGTCAGATAGTCGAATAACAATACCCTACCCTCCATCGTGGGTAAATACCGACCTAAAATGAACCTTTTCGTTATTGGCTTGCTTAATGATTGATCAGTGTTTGTTACTTGTTCTTTAGAAAATTATTATGTAATTATATTGTGTTTCTATAATTAAAATCATGTCAAAACCAGCTGATATACAGGTTGCTGGCAACCCTCCACCTTCAGTAGTAGGCTTAACTCAAGAGTGACGCGCCACAACCGCATCTTCCACCTCTGACTTAAGATACTTATTACCTGTCAGCTAGATTGGGCTTTGCATTCATTTGCTTAAAACCAGAGTAGCGAGCGAAAACATACTGATATTAAACCTGATACCACAAACTTTAGATCAAAATTACCTCCCCGTTTGGAGCGAAGCAGGATATAGTTATCACTTATTTACTGAGACCGAGGGAAACAGTGTGTTTTGTGGACCCGAGACCGCCGTTGTTGCCCGAGGCGAAGCCGAAGGCAACAACGGCGTTTGAGGGACCACAAAACACACTGCTTTCCCGAGGTCTCAGTAAATAAGTGTTTTGTTGTATAGTGTATAAGTGTCAAAATATGAATAATTCACCGGTTATTCAAGTGAACTTAGCAAAACTAGATAAATGGAACGCCGTAAATGTTTAATAAAAGTTTTAAAAATGAACTTTGGAACTTCATGGTTGACACGCATGCGTATTGCATCCATTTTATTATTGACCGGTCAATAAATGTTTCATTGTGGACCGGTTGCCTCCTCGGTAAAGTACGTAGTGAACATGACGTTTTGTGGACTGGCACGTGATACGGTTTTGACCAATCGGCAAACAGAAAAATTGAACTTTGACACTAACTATCTAACAAATGCAGTTAAAATGCAATTTAACTACGTTAACAACAAAGAGCGCAGTTAATGTGTCAGTTATTACGGTCAGTGGTTTCTAGCATACCAGCATGCGCATGGCGATAGTAAGTCAGCGGCTGCTAGTGTTTGAGCATGCGCAACAAACAGGCACGCATTGTTCGGAAATCCTTATTATTATTATTAGTTTAATAAAATCCATTTTGCAGCTAAAGCTGAATTGCATGGAAAGGATATTTACAATATTAAACATTAAAATTTACGTTAACAATGTTATATACTTATTATTAACTACCTATTATAAAAATGTATTAATAAAATGTTAACTATATTTAATGGTAAAAAAGTTCTTTAACCGTTCAGACATAATCGGTAAAAGTTGCGGATTATTATTACGCAGATCATAATTATGAGTTCGGTCTGGTAGACCGGATTTAACTATTGCAGTTAAAGGGTTGTGTGGCGAATCTTGGTCTCGAAGTGAGTTAATTAATTTCCTACATGCTTCTTCTCTTCTTGTACTCAGTAGTTTAATGTTACTTTTGTGTAATGCTTCATCATAAGATAGATGGGGATACGCGATTTTTAAAGCTCTTTTTTGCACCGACTCAATAAGGTCTGATATTGTCTTTGGAAGAGCGAACCAAACTGGTGATGCATACTCCAACTGGGATCTTATAACTGCACAATAAATATGAACAATGTTTAAAGGGCTCAATCCAGCTTTCTTTAATAGGCGTAAAGCATAGATGCGTAAATTCGCTTTCTTTAAAATTTTATCTACGTGTATATCCCACGAAAGATTGTTAGTCAACCACACGCCTAGTAGTTTAAAACTGGAGACTCTCTCCACCACATCGCCGCCTATAAAAATGTCATTTTCTACCAGTTTATACTTAAGAAACGTAATAACCATATCTTTGCATTTCTTTGGATTTAGTCTCATTCCTCGTTCGTTTGCATAATCGGATATTTGGTCCACGATAATTGGTAGGAAGCTGGGTGAACATCGTGGAATTATTTCCAAGACCGTAGTATCGTCGACAAATTTGACTCTCCCAGGCCAATCCTTGAGCAAAGAATTTACAAGGACTGCAAAAAGTAGCGGTCCTAGTTTTGTTCCTTGTGGTAGACCACCGTTTGTTTTCTTCCACGACGAGTATGAGTTTTCAATTCGCACACACTGTTCACGGTTGCTAAGAAAAGCTTTTATCCACCTCACTATGGCAGGATGTGCACCAAGATTTTCCAGCTCGCATATTATGACATTATGATCAACAAGATCGAACCCCTTTTTAAAGTCTGCAAAAAACAATCTAGCGGAGCAGGAAGTGTTCTCAAGGGAAGACAAAATGGTGTGCAGGAGGTATGTTAGGGCGTGAGTCGTAGATTTCCCTGGTAACGCAAACTGCTTCGTGTCCAATTTACTCTCAATTTGTGCAAATAATTTTGTCAAGGTGAACCCCTCCATGACCTTAGAAATTTGGGACGTTAATGATATGGGTCTTAGATCGTCCTCCACGCTTTGAGGTAGTGAGACTTTAGGGATTGGAACTACAATAGACCGTTTGAGGTTCATCGGAAACACGCCCTGAATGATAGACGAATTGTAAATGTCCGTAATAACTGGAGCAAGTTCATATGCAAAGACTTTCAAAATTTTGTTAGGTATCATATCTGGACCAGGGCTTTTATTGGTTTTAATTTTGCGGAGTTCATTGTACACTTTATTAGCGTCGATGAAGTATTCACCTGGTACATTGAAATCAAATTGTTCTTCCTCGCGTGTTAAAGGAGTAAAATGTGATGTAAGACCGGAAAGGAAACAGTTAAATACTTCAGCCAAGTCATGGCAATTAGGAATATCATTAGAAAGTAGTTGATTATACCAACAACTTTTGGAAGATATACCACCCAACGACTTAATTTGTTTCCACCATCTTGAGGGATTGGAAGTTTTTAGTTTCTCAACTGATTGGGCATAATACTTAAATCGGGCCGATTGAATTGATTGCTGGACTTGGTTTCGCCAGAGTTTATACGCATCAGAATTTTTCCCATAATAATGGAGAGCTTTTTGACGTTTTATAATTAACTCTTTTATTAATGACGTCAGCCATGGTTTGTCACATTTAGTTTAATTTAGTTCTTTTCAAAGGGAGTAAAATATCAATCATATCACTCATTATGTCATTAAATTTTCCATATTTATCTTCGCACGCATTTGTAGTAAAAATATCTGACCAATCAAATGAAGTTATCCAGCGGCCAAAAGGTTGTAACGAGCTTTCCCAAGGTCCCGCTTCCATACCTTGACTTTATCAGGTTTTAAAGGGGGATTTAGGGATTTTAAACAAACCATGTTATGATCACTGTTTCCTAGAGGTGGAAATTTGATAGGATCGTATAGGCTATTATTGCGGTTAGTTAGGCACCAGTCTAAGGTTACATTATCTCTAGTATGCACCTTAATTATTTGGAAAAGGCCAATTGATCTTTGGATATATTTTGCGTTGAAACCAGTACTCCTATAATTGAAGTCTCCTGTGATTAAAACAAGGGCATCAGGATGTGATTGCATGAAAGTATCAACATTGGTTTGGATATGAGAATAAAGGTTTACATTTTTGGTGTGGCCAGCTGATGTGGAGTGGTAGATTACAGCCAATAGTATAACTGAAGTCGAGCGGGGGAGCCATGTGGGTCTAACGAGGAGCCACAAGGACTCAACTGTAGGATCTTCAAAAGCAGTTAGGCGTTGACAATATATACTGTTGTTTATAAAAATGCACACTCCACCTCCACAAGATGAAGAGCGATCATTTCTAATAATCTAGGCTTGGTTGCTTATTAAGCGGAAAGTTGGTTTTTATTTATTTATTTATTTATTTATTTAAAAGTACCATTTCCCCTTGCCTTCCTCGGCGACCTTTGTGTCCTGGATCACCTGGCTTTCCCTAAAAATTAAATATTACCAAATCTTTCGTTAATAAATGAAACTGCAGGTTTAAGCAACAAAACAACTACTGTATATAAAGTAAATTCACCTTGAATCCACCATATCCTCGTGGTCCAACCGACCCCGGTGGACCAGGTCGTCCCTGTGTTAAGAAATAAAAGTGTGGCTTAGTATATAGTATGTGCATGTATTTAATTTACTCTAATTTGTTTATTGTAAACGCTATAGGGCATCAGATGTACCTAATTCCAAAAGGAAATCAACGCCCCTCATACTGAGTAAACTATTAAGTGATTATAATTTGGCTTAGCAACAGGCAAGCGCAAAGAAATGAAATTGAATGCGGTGCGTGAACGCACGTTGACAGTGCCTAGCTGCCGCACGTGGCAAACTTTTTTCATCTAGCGCCAAACAAAGAAAAAGCTCAAACGTACAGTATGAGGTGTAGAATAGCATTATGAACCTGCAAGCATTGTTTAACAGGCAATACAATGCATTATTTTATGCATTATTTTATGCGTGCACTGTGTTAATTATACACAGTTTGTTCCCAATTATCAAATACCCATTGTAGTATCTGACTCGTACCCAGTCCCTGAAATGTGGATTGAAAAAAATAATGGCCCTTTCAATGCTTTTTGTCGTTTTCACAATTAGGGCTGTTCCCAATTAATCGATTGATCGATGATATATTGTTTCGTTTCTTTCCACAATCGATTATTCTTCATAATAATCTGAACAATAAACAACCCTATTTCCTTTCAGATATAAACTTTGATCCTGATTTAAGTTTTTCAAATATTTAGTTGCGCTATAACATGTTGAGTCATTTGGTCTGCGTAGCTTGTAAAATTTCTTTTTAAAACGATTTTATTAACTTGATTTGAAAATTGAAAAATCGGATTCGGTGTGTCTGGGCCATTACAGTATCATTTACAAGTGTCAAACGTAAACTAAACATCGTCATTGTCTTGTCAGTTGTCCACTTGTGTGAACTCTGCGTACACGAGAAAGTGCGCAATCTATAACCTTGAGTAAACAACAATTCCAAACGCAAATAATGATGAATTGTTGGGAGACAACAAGGGAGGCACATCCGCACATGCTAAATTTAAATTACTTAATCAATACGATTAATCGATATTAATCCATTTATGATAACGATTAAACGATTGTGAAAATGAACCGATAGGAGCAGCTCTATAGTTACACTCCTCAGCTCAGTCTATACATGTATATATAGGATAAAAAACGAATGGGAGGTTAAAGACTGAATTCCAATGAAAGACCGACCATGAGGTTTTTATGTTGTTTATATACCTGTCACACCCATTTTCTATTGTCCTCGAGAGGTTGTGGTTGTGGGACGAAATAAGGCGTAACATGCGCATTACATACGCTTTAATGTGGTTAAGCATGCGCAATATATCATTTCACGTCCCACAAGCGAAAGAGTAGATATTACTGTATAAATTCCCTGCACAAGGAAGTTTGCAGTGCTTCCACTTTCAAGGAAATTTCCTTTTTCAAGGAAATTTTCACCCCCAAAAGGAATTTTCAAGGATGGGAAAAATCAAGGAAATTTAAGGAAATATGATAAACAGTCTATATAAACAATAAAAAAATAATTAAAAGTTAAAGTCTTGGTAAATTGTTGCAGGCTATTTTGTGTATTGATAATTTCAGAACATTTAACATCATTACATATCTACATGAAGTATCAAGACAACCACTCAACCGCGGACCACTACCCCTATTTCTATTCTGTGCCATTACCTAAATTAAAATATAGATTTAGAAATGATGAAATCCAAGTTAATCATACTATTGCACATGGCACTCGTCTTTGCACAATTTAACTGCACAATAGTTGGTTTACAGGGCGGTAGGAAGCTCTTTTTTATTGGAGGGGGGGGGGGCTGAAAGCGAGGGCCGAAGGCCCGAGGAAATTTTTAAATTTAGAGTCTCTGAAATGCCATTTCCTGGACTTTGGGGAAGATTTGACATAATTCTGATGGTCAGAAAACAGCGTTTTAGTATGTCGAAATTTACAATTTGGTAGTACTAAATGGGCGAAGGTGTATTTAATTAACTATATATTGGATAAGTTGCAGGAAAGCGTGGGTAATATCTTCATTCTTTGCAGTTTGTCATGTATAATGTAGCCGCTTAAAACTAATAAAGCTTAAAATTGATAAAGGTCTGCATGATTTTGAAAAAAAGAATGATTATTAGAAAATTATTGGGGGGCGGCAGCCCCCAGCCCCGGTTGCTACGGCCCTGGCTTTACGTTAATTTTTCACTTTACTGTTTATTTGTTTGGGACCTGTTGATAAATTAACACACATTATTATGTAAACAACTGAGAAATGTTTTTGTTGTTGCACATGTTTAACAATTGAGGAGATAGGGAAATATTCTGTACATTGTCATTATGCAATATGCCGCTCATATTTTCTGTCACAACTGTTGACGAATTTACTATTAAATTGATATGGATAACTGTTTAAAAGTAACTGTGTTGATTTAAAGAGTATTGTATTGATTTCTAACAAGTTAAACACTGCGATGAATATAAAATTAAGCCGTAAATTAACTAAAAGTTTTCTCAAGGAAATTTCAAGGAAATTCTATTAAGAAAATTTTGACACAAATCTCAGGAATTTTAAAATTTAATAGTGGAAGCACTGGAAGTTTTACGGTTGATCCAGCTATTCGCCTACTCCTCGTGCGCCGAATGATAGTTACTACTATATAACTACTGGGGCATTTACTCCAGTAGGCCCTTTGCTTGCCCCAGTAGTGAAGCAAGATTTTCAGATGAACTGAGCCCTTTTGATCATTAGTAAAAAGTCAATCTTGTTGAAAAATCTGCCCGCCCTCTCATATCCTCTCACATTCTGGACATTCCATCTTATAAAAGTTAGAACAAGCAGGTGCGGCGCTAAAGGGGGGGTTGTGTGTGTGTGCGGGGGGGGGGGCGGTTGAAACACCCCTCAATCCAGTCGTCAGATAGTCAGTAAATTATCTAATCTCAGTTGGATAGGAAGGAAAGAAACTAAAATATTTAAGTGACACTGATTAAACACAAATAATTGTAGAGAAATGTACTAAAAAATTACGGAAAATTAAACGAACTATGCTACGTTAACCGAAAAGAAAATAAAAAGTTTAATGTGCGAAAACGTTTTTCATGTAAAGCCGTGAAACACCCTTCTCCTGCCCCCCCCCCCCTACTCGCCGACAATTTTGGGAAAAGAAATATTTCACTTATACGCCCCCCTCCCCTCATTCAAATAGGGCTAGCGCCGCCCCTGAGCACAGGTAACTGTGCGGGCAAAAGGTCCTCATTGAGACTTGGCCCCAGTAGTTGCAATTTCTTAAAAAATGCCCTGAGTTACTCTTACCTAATGATAGAGTTTGACGGGCTCTGAGGTACACGGCTGTTGTCGCTTTCTCGACTCAGAGACGTGCAGTGTTTTCTAGTCGAAAAGGAGATGTGGGACTTGAGTTTTGTTGCAAATCCAAGTCCCGAATTCAAGACGTATGCGCCAGATCTTTCTTTCAAATGTAAGACCCATACCGGGTCTTACATTTTTAGCTCAGCCTTCAAAACAGACCGAGAACAATAGAAAATGGGTGTGGTAGGTTTCTAAACGCTGATATGTACATGTACTCATTGACGACTGGGTACGAGTCAGTTGTAGAATCAGTATAAACAATTAACCTATTCACCAATAGCGATGCCATCTTGAATTTTGCGTTCAACGCAATGCATTATGGGTGATCCAGGGTCGTAAATCAAATATGTAGGCGAAAACACACGTTTTTATAGTTGAAAATAACAGACAATTTTTAGAAGAACTAGAAAAACACACAAAAGCTGGGAAAAATAAAAAAATCAGGATAAATCTATAGTTTAAATCTTTGTTAGGCCTAAAAAGGGAAATAATTTCAACAAAGTGCGCATAAAATTGATTTACACTGCCTCATTGTCCTCAAGAAAGTGTTTATGAAAAAAAAAATATCGTATTGTGTCTCAATACGACATTAAAGGCTTTTGAATTCGGATTTTTACCCTGGATAACCCATAATGCATCATGATTCAAGATGGCGTCGCTATTGATGAATAAGTGAATTGTAGGAGCAATCACAAATTGCGCAAGCATTTTTATAGTTTATATGACATACTCTTGGTGCCTGTCCACCACTTGGTCCCGTTTCTCCAATTAATCCATGTCTACCCTTAATATAGAAACATATTTGTAAGGAGGTATTAGGCATTTATACTACTACATATACTCACAGTAAGTAGTTTTATAGCACACATACCCTTACACCAGGTGTTCCCCTTCGTCCACGTGGAGCATAATAGTTACCCTGCGAATTGATGAAATTATGAATTAAAAAATTACCCACGGACACTTCTCCAATTAATATACGGGCAGTTTTATTATTATATATGAGAATTTATTATGTCCCGACAAAATAAATTCTCATATAAAAATTTATTATATTATTATTATTATTATTTTAAATCTCTCCATCAGCTCTTTAGGTATTTTTGCAGAAGAATGTTCTACATTTTAGACATGTTATAAAGTATTGGTCTTGACAAAAACCACCAAATGTACTGCGTTAGGAAAATGATGACTATTGCTATCAGGACTACCTATTACAGTTTCTTCCTGCCGAAATAAGGAATGGGAAAATCCGGATTTACTAACTATTTGATTTATGGATATATATATATATATATATATATATATATATATATATATATATATATATATATATATATATATATATATATATATATATATATATATATATATATATATATATATATATATATATATATATATATATATATATATATATATATATATATATATATATATATATATATATATATATATATATATTATTATGTCCCGACATAACAAAATTCTCACCTATTTTTCTTAAAAGACCCTCAATAATACGGACCTGAATCAAGTTCCAGAGAGCCAATACATTTTAATTTAACCTCATTATAAATGGTGATACACTGGTGATGATAAGTGCAAATTATAAACGTAAGTTGGGCAAAAAGATGGGGGAAATTTTGGAAAGTTTATAGGGAAAATTGGTTTTGGTAAGTCGGGCACAATGGGAAAAAGCCGGGTAAATTTCTTTCTGCCGCCCTACTATGTGTATGTCATACAATCTCCGTTGCGTTGCAGACTTGTAGTCCGATCGTTCGAAAACATGCATGATGCATACAGTACGTATATCACTGGGCATATGCAGTATATAATTGATGTGCCCAATGTAGGGTAGAATACGTTAATTCACACTGATGTCTCAAAACATATTTGAATTTTAAACGTGATCATGGTGACCTCTACAAACGTAGCTGGTGGTTAAGGGTTGGGATTGAGGCACGGGCAGCTAAAAAGCAAAAAAAAGCAAGTGGGAATGGCCAATATAACTTATTCATAATAAAATATGTCAGATGCCATCACCACACAAGATATGAAGCCACAATCTGTCCTGCTCAGATTTTGACATCTCAACAAAGCAATACAATATTTTGAAATCACCAATTGCGTGTGTTGAGAAGGCGCATCTAATAAGAGTATCCGCTGAATGTTTTGTTTAAGGGCGCGGGTCAATGATGCGTCCGACTATCAATGAGGAGTCCGACTGTCTACGGAAAAAAAATTGCTGAGGCGAGGCTACGCGTGTAAACCAACCCGCAAAGGCCTCTGACCGCTTTCAACACTGAACTATAATATATTTTCATATGTAATGCTATAATAAGACCCGGGGTGAGCTCCCTGTGGCGAGGCACAGGAAAGACGAACTTTTCTCGCACGCATTTTCGCCGTTCCCGCGCCTGCCTCCCAACCTTCTCAATCGCAATCTCTTAAAACCGCTGACTACGCAGGCTACACTAATATAGAAACTTTACTCTGTTCCGTATTTGAGAGATCCAATTACTATATAATAAAATGTGGGAGAATCGGACAAATAACAATTGTAAGAAAAAACAAGCGGATTATGAAAAACACGTACTGTATGACATACATGTACAAATTACTGCAATGGAAGAAAACAGATAATGTTAATTGGTTGGATTAATTCAATGGTGAGGACAATTGACGATCTGAATTGATGAATTGATGTGGAACCTATACAAGTAGTAATTAGAATCTATAAATATGTTCTTTCCTGTCACGCGTGCGTGTTGTACGTAGGCCTATTGTATTTCTATATTGTTTGGTTGAGTGAAATAAATATGTGACGAAAAAAAGCCTACAGTATACAAGAGTTACATTGTATCTGCAGTCTCTAAACTTGTATAGGGCCTAAGTGGGTTTCAGGAAGAATTACAACAATGAGTTTGGAAGCAAATAAATGAAAATGAGAGATGCAGTTTAATTTGATTGTTTCTGCATGCAAGTGTTAGCATTTGAGAAATTTCTATAAAGTTGACAATAATTATGCTTTCCTTGAAATCCTTACTAAAACCGCCACTGTTCTACAGGGTGTACTGATAAAAAAAGGTAATTGAACTTCAGCGCGCTATTGCACCTGAATTACTCTGCGTATACGAACGAGATTTTTTCGTATTCGGAAAGATCAGGCTTTTAAATGTTGAATGATATGTTTTATCCATTTGGCATGAAAAACATGTCATTCAACAGCTAAAAGTGTGATCTTTCCGAATACGAAAAAATCTCGTTCATATACGCAGAGCAATTCAGGTACCGAATAGGGCGCTGAAGTTCGATTACCTTTTTTTATACACCCTGTATTACAACGTTCAAAGTACTGAAGTAATCAATTGAAAAACGAACCGATCTAATTGGAGCGAAATGTAAACATGAAAACTTACCCCAATCACAACGGATGGTGTTCCAGTCATTGGACCTTTCGCAGCCATGTTGCTAAACCGTAGAATCTACATAGAAATATTTAGTAACACACTGAGAAAACATATTTGTTTGTAAAGAAATCAGTTTTGGCAATACGTATCTCACTTACTATTTTTCCAGGATAGCCCTGCCGACCCCGTAAGCCTGCAAATCCGTATTTTCCATCTTCTCCAGGTCGACCTAACTGTCCCTAAAAATACCCAGGAGAAATATTTAAAGACAACATACAGTATGATGAACCATGTATTATTATTCAGGTGAAATATTTTCTGTTAAAAGAAGGACTTGATTAAATGTTTAAACTATAAGTCAATGCGGACATAATTCTAGTTAAATAGACATTTTTGCATTCTATTTTATTCAAAGTGTTCAATCATAATAACTATTGCGTGAATAGACCTTTCTCCTTATGAGTGAAATTTTGATCTAGATATGCCTGGACAAAAATTTCATCACAGCTTGAAAGACCATCCACAAAATTAGTAATATTCCGAAGTTTCGTTGCGAAATGTTGTAAAATTCGAATAATATAGCCTTGCGAAGTTTGCTGTTTTTCAGTCATTTTGCATTACAAACGGGAAATTGATAATCATGCAGTTTGATCATCTGATTATCAATTTCCCGTTTGTAATGCAAAATGACTGAAAAACGGCAAATTCGCAAGGCTATATTATCCGCATTTTACAACATTTCGCAACGAAACTTCGGAATATTACTAATTTTGTGATGCTCTTTCAAGCTGTGATGAAATTTTTGTCCAGACTTGTCTAGATCAAAATTTCACTCAAAAGGGGGAAGGTCTATTGCTACAGTAGGCTAAGTACTAGTACTTGCAACAAACAAAAAAAGGTATAGGCACTTCGTCTTGCAGGGATATTTTGGAAAACCGTAAACTTAAGTACCATACAGTATTATATATAAATATAAATAATAACCGCCTGTCCTTCACGTCCCCGTTCACCAGACCGTCCGTCGTCTCCACTGATACCCTGCAGAAAAATAATTATATTACTAAATCAAAATTAACTTTTAGATTTCAAGCGTTGGGCTGCCATTGTCGGCAACAGTCTTATAAATTCTAAATTTGTTTCGGAATTTTTACCCTTTGTCGAAACATCATGCAGTATGTTTTCTACTGATAGTTTTCAGTAATAATCAAGTTACCTTGAATCGCGTATAGTGTTGCGCGGTAATTAAACTTTCATCATCGTTCATCATTATCGGAGATGTATACACACGACAAAAACACGGGGTTTTAATCAGTCATTTTAAACAGCTACAGGGGTGTAACCAGCCCCAAACGAGTGGGAGGGTCTAATCATCTGGCCGGCCGGGGATATGGGTCCCCGGAAAATATGTTTATTTTATATTATACGAAGCGCTATTTCATGCAGTTTAGACACGTTTTATCATGATAATCTGAAAACCACAGATTTGGTATATTTTATGTCATAGATGAAAACATTAAGAGGTTACGTCCCCCCCCCCCAGTTTCTCCTCAGTTTTGAAAGAATTACAAATTGGTGCTGAAATAAAGTGTGTGTTCGTAACACCCCCTCCCACCCCATGTAGCTACGCCTTTGCCTAGCTAGACCACAAAGTATCATAATTAAAGACGATGGAACATGCAGTATTGATATTGAACATGCAGTATTAACAGGCAGTATTGATATTAAAAAATAATTTAAAAAGTTGCTTCGAGCCATTGTATTCTGAACATAAAAGTTGATGATTTACCTTTACGCCTGGTTCTCCACGATCTCCGGCAGGACCTTGGAACTGGAGTAATTAATCATTAGTTATAATTCATTGTTAACTTTATTACAGAGGGTCTTGAAGGTGGTCTAAATCCCATTTCCGGACCATGCAATCTATTTCTTCTCTAAATCCCATTTCCCAGCCATTTCTTAAATCATATCCCAGTGACCAGTCCCAAATGTAAAATTGAAGACTTCAGATTAGGTATACATCTATCTATGTCTTGACTTGGAACTCAATTATGCATTCATTTGCTCTCTTTACAACTAGCTTTTCCGAGTAAAAGGTTCGAAGTCTATAAATACTTGTCACTTTCTGCAATTAAATAGATTTACTGGCATGCAATATATAATCTATCATGGCCGACCCGCTAGGCATAAGGAAATCACTTATTTGCAATAGCAGAAAAATGATCTAGTAGTCAAACGGCAGAATCCAGTCTCTCCGGACATTTTTAAACAAATTTGCAATCAAAAGTTGCTCCGTAGCTTTTCTTAAAGTTCTAGCTTTGTCTTTTAATGATACATGTATATGGTTTTCCCATTCCCATTTTTGTGTCTGTCATTCCCTTTCCTAGTAACCCAAATCCCATTTTCCCAGTCCAAAAATAAGCAAATCCCAGTTCCCATTTAGCCGTTTAGGACCTTATTTGTATACGGCAAATTCAATTAAGGCTGTCCTTGCGAAAACTTAAACCTTAAACTCTGAGCGCGCAAGGAGTGATGGGTTATTGCTTAGTTTATACTCATAAACTTTGAAATTTGGCTTTGCTAGAATACTTAATTAAGACATATAGAAGACTCCCGACAGAATAAAATACTTGCAGCAAAGGCAATTTTCTGAGTTCAAGGGCCTATAATAGGTGAAAACCCATCATCCCTTGCGCGCTCAGAGTTTAAGGTTGAGGTTTTGGAAGGACGACCTTAATTAGCCTTTCTCAAGATGACGAATATCCGCCATTTTTGGGTGGCATTTAATTCTCGTTAACCAATGCAGACAATTAAAACAATGTGAAAAGCATTTTTTCAAAATAAACTAACCATTTACAAAGCAAATTTACCATCATTCGTCCAAACAATTATAAAAAGTCGCTGTTATATGGACTTATCTCGTAGACTTCGGCTTAAGGCAAATATTAAATGATATTAACGATGTTCAACGTTAAACTAAGTATACAGGAGCGTTCATCACCCTTTTATACTTAATTGCAGTTGCGATATAGGGCTGAATTACGAAGTTCAAACGAGAGGGAATATCAGTGAAAAATATGGTATTCAGTAGAAAGGCGATATAAAATAGATCTCGATAATTCTAAATAAAATACTCACCACTTGTACATTTTCCTCTGAAAAGCAAAATAAAAATTAGTTTGCGTAAAATGATCTGATTAGTTTTATAGATTTGTTACATTACATTATGACTATTTGTGTACTTTCTAAGACGGTGGTTCAGATGTGGTACTAAAGGAAGAGAAGAACCTAAAATATTCCGTAATACGACGTACAAATCACTCCTAAAATAATTTTTAAAAAATATTCTGATTCCTATACAATGTAGTTATTCATTTTTGTAATTTTCCTATTACTTGTTATGATTTTCTAATTTTGTGAGCGATCTTTTGCAGATGTTTTCAGAAAATGATCATTATCTTGTTTTGTATTAGATATTTTCATTATGATCAGTATCTTATCAGTATTATATTTTGCGAGGTTGTCTCGAGGGCATATCTTTTAACGATAAAAGTAAATGTTTGAAAGCCAATATTTGGAGTCAAATTTTGAATTTGTAAATGCATGGCTCATATAACTGGCCAAGGTGCAGTGTAAGATAAATATATCCAAAGGCATTTCCGAGAGGTTAAAAAATTATGACTTAATTAAAAAAGAATGTGAGACATTTTGAGCAAATTCCGTTCGGCATCGACCTATGTCTGGACGTCAGGTCAACCTCAAGACCAATCACTTTTGATCTTTTCAGAACTTTTTAAGTCCTCACAAACGATCTTGCGGGTCATTTATTTGAATCCTCAAAGAGTAAATTCTTTAAAGGTCACCGAATATGCATGCTCCGCTGTTCTAGAGGTTTTTAATTAAATCACCAACGATGGCGTACGTAAGATCAATTTGAACATCTGCAATAACCATTAATTTATTCTTATATAGTCTGCATGACTATAGTCTGCATGCTTTTCAGACAAACGATAAATCAATCTCCTATACAGTGATATCTTCAGAAGTATTTTATAAATATTTGTTTTAAGTTTCTTTAAATATATTCCTCACGGTCACCTCCACACATGATGCAGACATTGGGGAAAACATAGTAGGTGGTCGAATATTGTAGTACAAATGGCATTAATAATAATAATACGCATTTGTTTTAACACGTGAGATTTTACTGCGATGTTGATGCTGATAATATATGACACACAAATGTATGTTGTCAAAAATATGTTGCGCGCTCCAGCGAAGAATACCCTAACCCAGGTGAGGTTTGAAAAATTATGAAGATTAAAAATGAACAACGAATTGAGCGCAAGATTCAATTCAGGAAATACACAAGGTGGCCACATCCCACAGTCTGATAGGAATTTGGAGGTCATGTACTTGGTACAATGACTGTCGTCATTTTCGCCAAGTGTTTTTAATAGACTGTTTATAGAATACTGCAGTAGCTAATATACTACTGTAGTAGCTACATCGGACTTTTAAGGCCAATTTACACTACACAACTTTTGCCTAAAACTGTCGCATGAAACCTGCTTATTATACAACTTGAGTTGTACTGTGTAAATCAAGCACACAACTCGCGTACGACAACATAGGTTGCATGCGACAGTTTTAGGTAAAAGTTGTGTAGTGTAAATCGACCTTTAAAGTACCGTAGTACAATCCTAAAATTCGTCAGTAAATGATTTGCTGAATTTATTTGCAATTAATGAAAAAATATTAAAATTCAATTAACAAGGTACATATCACCATAGGTGACCATAAACTTCGTGCAAATTAACTAACAACATTAAATATGCTCCAAGGTAACAACAGATGTATGTGTAGTTATTGTATGACCATCAGATCTGAAAGGTGTCAGAGTTTCAAATGTTTTTTCTCACGCCAGTGTGTTAAATTTGGAAATTAATTTGATTAGGTTTCCTTAACATTGTGCACATCTCTGAAAACAAGTGTTTTTCATTACTTGTACATTTTCTGAAATTGTGTAATTTCTGCCGGGATACCGGCTATATACAAACGTCCGAACACTTTCCGCCGCAGAGGTCTCTCAATAGATTTACTGTTTATTGCACGTTTGCACCAACGGCCTCATTTTAGCATGCATGTTGCCTGTTTTAGCATAGCGCACATAAAAGTTACAACTTACATTCCCATTTTCGCGCACAAATATGCTTTCCTTTGACTTGAGCCATACATAAGCATATTCTTAAACATAATGTGGCAAAACACGAGTAAATAGCCACGTGAAAACGAGGCCATTGGGGCAAGAGTGTAATAAACAGAACCGTAATTGGACCATTATTATGTACTTATTAAAATACTTAGACTTAGTGGTTACCGAAAATAAACAGTACTGTCTATTAGTTTTCGAGCACTTACATTAGTCTTACACGACGAGTGGGGGAGCGTGTGGTATGCACTGTATTGGGAAATTAAGAGATACAAATGCAAGCACTCTTTACGCACGCCCTAACTAAAACCCAAAGCTTCCGCAGAGAGCCAGAGGAGAGTGCTATCCAAAGCCGTATTTACTGAAAGTCTATCAGTAGGCCCTGCACGGATTTGTTCCAGTGATTTCGCCTTATTTGACGTACGTTGATTGGTTGATTAAACAGTCAGCCAATCAGTGACGCAAAAACATGAGGGTTTGACAGTTTGTAACCATCCAATCAGTTTAAATTACCTTTTAGTGTGTGTGCGTGTGTTTTTTTTTATGAGTAGATGCAAGTAGCAGGTGTTTCTTTCGAAAGAATATATTAGTACAATGGGGATACGGGGCTCAATATGTTAGGGGGTTTCGGGGCAATGTACCTCCGAGAAAATGTTGAATACTTAGACCCTCAGCAACCAAAATTTGGCAGTCTTACTTATAACTTCCACATTTCCCTGTCAATGCTCTTCTGATAGTTTACCTGAAAATCAACTTAAATCACCTAGAAATGTACCCAAAATTACTCATGAACACTATTGGGCGGGGGGGGGGGGGCGTTTACGGTCCTGCAAATGATATTCAATGGTCTATTTGTCAAAGACGCTTGCCACAGAGGAAAAACCTTCACTCAAATCACTGGTTTAATTTAAGTGGAAGAAGCATCTCATTTATGTTGGCAAGGCTGCTCGACACCGTCTACTGATATCAACGGATACATATCGAACCCTGAGTGTACAGAAGACCAAACGCCTGAGAGATCTATCGCTGTACCACAACGGACGACATAGTTAAATGCACGAAATCCATTCGATTATGCTCAGATGGTGTGAACATCTTTACCAAAACAATGTGGAAAATAAAATAACGATTAATAGCATTCCATTCGTTAGCCCGAGTGTGTAATAAGTACCCTGATCTATAGTTAATGTTAAGGAATGTCCTCATTAATTTTGTCTTTGTCTGTGAATAAGATGGCCTGGTAGGAAACATTTTATGCACTGCAGTGATTCACAGCGGTTTATCTTGACTTAGCGAGATTGCGTTAATTTGATGTAACCAGTACCAGTACAGGACGACCGCAACAGAGAGTCAGTTTAAAAAGCAGTTACTGTATATCCATGCAGCTATAAACATGAGCAGCTCATATGATGCTCATCAAAAAAGTTTGGAAAATATATAATAAAGGAATACATGGTATAGCCTGTGTAGGTGTTTTTGAACTTATTTAATTGCGGTATACGAGTGCCTTGAAAAATCATATATCCCATGTGAAATAGCGTGCATGACTACAATATGTATATGCGAGACCGAAGCAAGCAAGAACTTGCTCTGAACTTTGTTAATACATGCTAATAACTTTAATGAATTCATGGTGTGTTATATTGAGGTAAAACATCATGCATGTCAACGCAGGGAGTCTAGAATTATATAGTTATGCAAAAAATCCTCGGCTCTTGACATGTACACAATATTTTTAGTCATTTTAATACTTGTTTTCTATCATACAACATTCTTTCATTGTGTCAACTATTCTAATACGTAAAAAGATTATAAATTTTGGCGATAATTACAAAAGGTGATAAAAATTGAAGGTCAAGATTACAAGATAGTGATAGGATTGAACTTTATGTCGTTTCCTTCTTTCATCACAACATCCATAACGTCACTATTCAGATATTATGCAAACTAATTCTGTGTATTATGCCAGTTATGCAGCGTACAACGTCAATGAGCGATAATTATTATCGTTTCAACCCATTCACAAAGTCAAAGCATGCAGGAGCCTGCGTAGCTGGATGTTTTATGGGGTTGAGGCTGGGTTTTAGGGTGAGGCCCCAACCCTAACGCCTTTAGGCCGGTTTTCCAAGTCAAATTTTCCGCTATTGACGTCATACCCAGACCTTTTAATTTAGTTCAAATTTCATCAACTCTGAAATTTCGTTTGTTGAATTCCATAGAAATACGCAAAAGATGAAATAGTTAACAAAAGTTGAAGTACGAGATTTTTGGTCTTTCAGAAGTCTGGTAAATCATCATCGGACATTTTGGGTATTTTTCGTATGGAATGAAAGAATATTTTCTAGATATTTTCAATGTTCTGGTGAAGCTTAGCAGTAAAACATAAAGATATCTACTTTTTTCCGAATACCTGATTAGAATAATTACAAGAAATAATGGAACCAGAATAGTCGTCAGAACCATTTTCAGGATTAAATTACATTCAAGCCACATGAAGTAGGCCACACACCGATTAGAGATAATATAATTTGTGGAGATGAAGATTTAAGTAATCACTATTTATAAACTCTGAGATATTTAACTTGAGAGAACTTTATAGTTGGTTACGTTGATTTCTTGTTTCAAAATCAGTGCAACGGCATGATCATGAAGGGACTAAAAGCACAGGGGCATAGCTAGGGAGGAATGGGGGTCCGGACACCCCCCCCCCCCACACACACACACACACACACTTTTCTTCAGGACAAATTTTGTAATTCTTGAGGAAAAACTGGTAATGCTTTCATCGGTGACATAAA